AGGAGGAGGAGGAGGAGGAGGAGGAGGAGGAGGAGGAGGAGGAGGAGGAGGAGGAGGGAGGGAGGAGGAGGGGGGAGGGTGGAGGGGGGAGGGAGGTAGGAAGGAGGAGGAGGAGGAGGAGGAGGAGATAGGAGAGGAGGGAGGGGGGAGGAGGTGGAGGGGGACAGGCCCGACTTCACCGCGTCGAGGGGCGCCACCAAGGTGCAGCCGCCCACCGAGGCACAGGCGTGGCCCAGCAGGGCGTGGGCAGAGCGGGGGCCGCCCCCACCCCCCTCCTGTCGGCGGCGAGCAGAGGGGGGGAAGTGAGCAGGAGGAGGAGGGAGGAGGGGGGAGGAGGAGGAGGAGGAGGAGGAGGAGGAGGCGGTGGAGGAGGAGGAGGAGGAGGAGGGAGGAGGAGGAGGAGGAGGAGGAGGAGGAGAGAGGAGGGAGGATGGCGTGGCGGAGGAGGAGGCGGAGGAGGGAGGAGGAGGTGCAGGAGTAGGGGAGGAGGAGAGGAGGAAGAGGGAGGAGGAGGGAGAAGAAGGAGGAGGCGGAGGAGAGGAGGAGGATGGGGAAGGGGAGGAGGAGGTAGAGGAGGAGGAGGAAGGAGGAGGAGGAGGAGGAGGAGGATGAAGAGGAGGAGGAGGAGGAGGAGGAAGGAGGAGGAGGAGGAGGAGGAGGTGGAGGGAGGAGGAGGAGGAGGAGGGGAGGAGGAGGCGGAGGAGGAGGGGAAGGAGGAGGAGGGGAGGAGGAGGAGGAGGGAGGAGGAGGAGGAGTGAGGTAGGAGGAGGAGGGGAAGGGGGAGGCTGGAGCGGAGGAGGAGTGAGGAGGAGGATAAGTAGGGAGGAGGAGGAGGAGGTGGAGATGGAGGAGGAAGGAGGGGGAGGAGGAGGGAGGAGGAGGAGGAGGAGCAGGCCTTCTCAGAAGGCGGCGGGGCTTCTCAGAAGCCCTCGCGCCGTCTGAGAAGTCTTCGCTCGACTTCGGGGGAAGGCCCAGCAGAGCTCTCCGAAGGCCGGGGGAACTTCCGAGCCTTCTGAGGAGGCCTTCTCCTTCTCACTTCCCGCCCTCGCTCGCCGCCTATCCTGGCAGGACGGGGTCCGCGGCTCACCCTCCCCCTCCTGTCGACGCTACCAGCGCGGCTGGGTCACCAATCGAGCCGGCCGGAGCCAGGAGGCACTCCGCTCTAGACGCGCGCCAAGAGAGGGAGAGAGAGAGGAGGAAGGAGGCTCGAGGGAGAGGGAGAGGGAGGCACTCCGTCCTATACGCACGACAAGAGAGGGATAGGGAGAGGGAGAGGGAGAGAGGAAGGAGGCTCGAGGTCAGGTCAGGGAAGGAGGGTAAGGTAGCGTGGGGTTCCTGCCTGACCACCTCGATGCTGGCCTGCACTCCTCTTCCCGACTCCCTTCCACTTCCTCCGGCGGCGAGCCCGGGGGGGAAGTGAGAAGGAGAAGAGGCCCTCTCAGGTCCCCCGGCCGTCTGAGAAGCATCCTGAGCCCTCCCCGAAGACACAGCAAACTTCTCGGAGGCCCGGGGGCTCCTGAGAAGCCCCCGCCGCCTTCTGCGGAGGCTTCTCCTTCTCCCTTCCCCCCCCCCCCAAGGACGTCTTCCTCCTCCTGCCCCTTCCCCTCTCCTCCTCCTCTCCTCCTCTCCTCCTCCTCCTCCTCCTGCCTCTCCTCCTCCTCCTCCTCCTTCCTCCTCCTTCCTCCTCCTTCCTATACACCTCCGCTCTCCTCTCTCCTCTCCTCCTCCCTTCCTCCTCCTCCTTCCTCTCATCCTCCTCCTCCTCCTCTCTTCGCCTCCTTTCCTCTTCCCCCTCTTTACTCCTACTCGCCCGCGCCGAACGTGGCTTGGGGGGGCCACAACCTGGCCTGCGGCGCCGTAGGGACGAGCGAGGCCAGAGAACCGCTGAGAACCGACGGATTGGCGCCAGGACAATGTCAAAATTCCAGACTCTTTATCACTGGAGAGCGATCATCGTTTTTCGGGGAAAGGATCGAGGATCGAGGATCGAAGGATCGAGGATCGAAGGATCGAGGATCGAGGAGGAGGAGCCCAGCGTAAGAGACGAACGAGGAGGAGGAGGAGGAGGAGGAGGAGGAGGAGAAGCAGGAGGAGGAGGAGGAGGGTCGAACCCGAAACTCCCCCCCCCTCGCCCGCCGCCGAGCCCTCCTCCGCCCGACTCCATCCCGCGCCCTTTCCTGTTTGGGCACATGTTCCCCGGAAGACCTCCGGGTGCGCCGTCAGAGGCGGCGGCGAGCCCGCGCGGAGGGCTCGCAGGATAGTTGAGCGATCCTCCCATTCCTACACTTCTGCTTCCTTCTCCTGGCCTGATCGTCCTCCGCCTCCCCTCCCTCCTCTACCTCCTCTATTGAGCGGGGACCGACCGTCCCGGCATTCCTATAGACCTACCACGAGATGTTCTGAGAACCCAAAAATGTTCTGATTGCAAAAACACTGTTCTTAGAGCATAAATCCGATGCGATGAAACGAGACAGTCCCAGCCAGAAACGCTCTAAGAACA